GAGTGAGTCTGATAACACCAGAAAGGAGATCAACGAAAGTATAAACCCTAAGGAACGCATCTCGATGGAGGAGGATCGATCTAATTCAGTCCGAATTTACAGTTTAGCTTTTGATACTGCAAGAGTCTCTGGGACACTAACAAGTTCCGCACAAGTCTACGTTTAGAAAAAATCTCAAACTCAAGTTTACATTATTTTCTTCTAAATTATGAAAAGAACCTTTAGAAACAATTTTTTTTTTTGAAGGAAATTTAATATGAGTGTTTGTTATAAAAAGTGTTTCTTTTTTAAAATTGCTAAGCCCAAAGGAGGCTCTCTATAATTTTTATATGTAATTGAGATATGTTGCCTAGAAGATATATTGTACCATATTGGAGTTTGAGAACCCAATCTTTCTAACAACCATCAGCGAAGAAGGTGAAACTCGACTGATTCATATCAAGAGTCTCATCCATTACTAGCATCTGTTGAATTACAAAATCTAGACTATTGGCAATTTGGCATACATCCACGCCTTTAATTCCCATATTGTGTTTTCTATGATCTCCAATAATGACCATTGCGTTTTATTGAAAGGTTTGTCGTTTACTATTATTCATATGTACCATTATCCATGGATAGTTTTTGTTAGTCTCATCAAGATTTGTTCGGTTAGGAATGTACTAGAATAAGTAATCCAAACTTCCAAAGATACTCTCTAATAGTCTTAGGTAATTTGATCGGATTCTTACAACACATATGTACATCTTTGTCTCTCGAGTTAAAGTGTCGTTCTTTACTTGTGCTTTGTGTGTAATTGTGATTTTTTCCTCAAGTTTTAATAGTTGAATATATAGTCAACTATTAAAATAGTTAACTACAAAATTTTCGATGTAAGAAGTTAATAAGTCAAATGTGATGGTAAATGTTGCAACATTTGTGATGTAGTTAACAATGTTCTAAATTCGGTAGAGTAGGTACTTATGTTCTAGAAATAGTTAACTATGTACTGAAATTGGTTACTATGTTCTAAAAAATAATTAAATATGTATTAAAATTGGTAGTTATGTTCTGAAATCAATAGCGTACGTAATTATGTTTTGGAAATAGTTAATTTTATTTTATATAGATAACTACCACACCAACAATGTAGTTTACTATGTTTTATTCACAATAAAGTAATGTAACTACAAACATAGTTAACTGTTATAACATCATTGTGATATATTTTAACTATATTCTTAACTTAGTATAATAGATAACTATGTTTCTTAGTATAATCGGTAATTATGTTTCTGATAATAGTTAACTATTGTACGTATGTTATTGTTTCAAAAGATTATTGACTTCCATGTTTGTATGATTAGAGACGTAGATATCTTTATATATGAGAAAGAGAGAGTTTCGCCGTGACAATGAAAAACACAAAGGCCAGGATAGTATCAAGTATGTGCCAACCTTCAATGTAAAGGCTATGAAACTACCGAGTATGTGTTAACCTCCAATGCCAATTCAAGATTTTGATTCACAAACTGCAACTTGTTGCATACCCGAGATAATCTTATTTGCATTAATTGTTCAAAATAAGAAGAAGAAAAAAATCATCCTCCCTTATAATCAGATGATGCTTCTGAGAATAAAGATTTGAAGTATGTTATTATCGCAATTAAGTCAATTAAAAAGCTACATACAAAACATATTATGCAAATTTCAAATTATTCTCTATTTTTCCTATTATGCAAATTATAATAGGTAACTATTTTATGAACATAGCTAATTATATTTGTTTAAATAAGCAATTATTACAACAAAATTTCATGTATTCAACTATGGTCCCAAATCAGTAGAGTGGATAACTATGATTTGAAAATAGTTAACTATGTTTTTAAATAAATAACTATTTTTGAAAATAGTTTACTATGTTTTAATAAAATAACAAAAACATTGTGATTTAGTAATTAACTATATTCATAAGCATACTTCCATACTAATTATAGAAGAGGTAAGACATTCATACGACACCGTCATATGTCACAATTCATACCAAATAGTAATATGCACCGTCATACCAAACAATTTTTATGTTCAACAAAAATATAATGCGTTATAAATATGATAATTAAACAATCTTACTAACATTTGCTGGAGAAGTATGTCCAAGATGGAAAATAATACTATCTA